GGTAGTCGCGTAACGAGGAGCGCCTTCGATCAGCGGCGCAACTAAAAGATTAAGTAGTTAAAAATCGAAAAGAAACTATTTATTTGCACCTTCAAAATTCTTTATTCGCGAAAAATGTGCATTACGAATAAAAATATATCTGTAAATGTCTTGCTGTCGGAAGGATTCGTACTTTTAATTAGTTTTCTCTCTGATATTTATAGTTCAAAGGATATTCGGTGATTCTGAGTCACATCGTACTCTCGTTCGAATAATAAGCGCGAGAAATGTAACTGAAAGAGCAGGAATCTTGTTACACTACTGTTCGCGACCTTAAGTGTTAACCTCGCTATTCGAATTCAGCGGTCCGCAAAACTTCGCAAAGCTAATCGCGCGAATACCATTTTGCTGTTCTCTCTTCAATATCTCGGTGATTCGGAGATACTCGCTTCTCTCGCGGCGAAATCCGCAGCGTAAGCGAGCCGGAAACTTTTCGCGATCGTGCAGCGAGTCGCGGGCGGTCTTATCTTATCCGAGAGTTCCACAACGCGCGTCTTCAGAAAGCAAACATCACGAGGTGGCACCTGCGCGGTTTCGTAACTAGTTTATGCCTCGAGGCAAACATTTTCTACGAAATAACTCTTTACGACTTAATTGTACAGCGGCAAACTCGCGCGACTAATACTTGACACGATTTATTATCAGCAGAGATTGTGCTGTTGTTCGATAATATTTCCGCGCCTAATCCGAGTTTCAACTTTCAGAGAATCACTCGTTAAATACAATTTATGAATAGCAGTTCATTAATGCTGATTGGCAGGTTTCAGCTGTGTATACCTTGAATTTCTCGAGACCTTGAAATATGTGCGTTAATGATAAAGCACGAAGAATTGCACGCACGTTATAAATATCAGATATCTGTAGTGATATTAAATTGCTAATAAAAGTGGAACATGTGCAACGGAATAAAGTATTCTATCTCATTGTTAGATTAATGTAATTAGCACAATCAGTATCGTGATAACTGGATTGTTGAATTATTTTGCATTACACCGGTGACTTTTCAATTAACTTTTCAGTCTTTATCAGTAATTAATTCGTATTTAAATTAATTCTTAATAATTTATATACGTGACGTTATTATTACGCGTAAAATTCGTTGACTTGCGATATTCCGCTTCTCTATACTGTCTCCGGATTATCAAATCTACCTTGTCAATATTAGTATGTACTACGCCACATGATTAAGAACGACGTGATGTTCGCTTGGCGCAACATCCCTTGATCGTGCGAGACCTCTTAAGCGGGTCGCTGTCGTCGTAAACGCCTGCTCGAGGCGAACACCTGTTTGATCGACGTGAACAAGGCGTCGCGACGCTGAGGTAAACGAGAGCTTTCGATCAGGCCCTCCTTGCTCGATAAGGTGTACAAAGTTAGCCCAGGCTCAGCTGGCTTAACGTTCCATTAGCGGGCTCGAACCCGGCGACCCGCGCACGTTAAACCTCGGATTAGACGCCCGAACCTACTGTTCTCCACCCCTCTATCTCCTTCCTACACACATGTCTTCCGATATGTATATAGACACGTAGATGTATCGATAGCACGTGTCCGTATTTCAGACGTCTCGGTTACGAGGCTACGAGCATCGCTTTAAAGCACGTCGATTCACACGAACTCGAAGGAGCTGTAGCGGATTTTCCTCTATCGATGGCGGAGAAAAATCACTAACTCTCGAGCAGAGTTCCGCTTGCTCGCAGTCTTTTGCATTTATAGCAATCGTAAAACATCCTTTTACCGCTCATCGTCGCAAATGCGCACTTGGATGGAATCGCGTATAATTCTGTATTAAGCCGATTTGCTGCACCCGCTGTTTTGGAATGCCAATCACGAAATTTTATCTTTTGTTCAGAAATTTTATTATAATGTAAAAAGTTCATTGTACCTTTATTATTTGTGAAATCGTTGAATAATTAAAAAGTTGATTTTTCTTAACAAAGTATCAGCGAAATATTTCACGCACATATGCAGTAGATATCGAGAATTGCTATGACAAAAAGTCGATAGAATCTTAATTTAGTTGTGCACTTTTGTTTAATTCAAATGTTATATATTTGAATGAATCATATTGAATTTATTTTTTGTTTAATCGCACGTTTTAATTATCGATATAAATTTTATATCAGTATTCGGAATTGCCAATATATAAATTATTCCATCAAGCTATTAAATAATTTAATTAGCCAGCGCCAATTTAAATAAAAGCTGATAATGAGTAACACAGTTTATGAAGCATTATTCACGAAAACGTTTAGAGGAGAAAATTAACTTTTTCATCTGCTTCAAGTATCACGAAAGGAAGGACTTTTACTTATTCATTCCATCAAATTAAGGGCAGGGTAATAGTCGAAGCCAGTCGAAGGATACAGAACTTTCCTTTGGCATCCGAAGCCTAACGAGGTCCTCGCATACCGGGCGGTTGATTAAAACAGCATTAGTTGGACCGTCGTGGGGACCGATCGATCCTAGATATAGGTAGACCAATCATCTAATTAAGCCTACCGACCGACTCCTTCCTTCCACGCTTCCTCCACAGGGTGATCTAATTATTGTTTCACGAGCGCTTCTCGCGGAGGACAATTCTTAGGGTTGTCGCTTTTGTGCCTCTTCCCCTTCGTCAAAACAATCGCGAGATTATAGGGGAATTTGACTCATTGTCAGCTAATAAAAGCACGAATTTACAATCCAAATATTTTAGCTGGAAATCATTAACGAAAATATTCATAATTTTATTTGAAAATATGTGTAAGATAATATACGTATATTTATATAAATTCCAATTTGATTGTATTTTTATGAAGAATTCACGATATTTCAGAACCTTTGATTTTAATTCTAACAAATCTGGCGTGAATTTTTTCTCATGGAAAATTTTAAAAGAGGATTTTTTATTTCTTATAACTTTTTAACATTCGGCGTTGAATATTATCATGCCTTACCTGCCGTTCATGATGAGCAGATATCGTATGAAAAGTTTCTGTGAATGTATTTGGAAAAGTGAGTATATTGAAGAAGAGTGCGCGGAAAGCCCCGAGTGATTAATGAAGTGCCGCCGACAAGGTGTCGATCCTATTTCGCACGATGTAACGTCCCTCAGGACAGATATTGCCCTCACAAAAAACCGAGTACACAGTACCTTTCATCGCAACTTTGCTTTTTATCCCTAATTGAGTGATTAATCAAAATGACAAGTGACGCCTAGATATGAAGATATTTAATCGAATCTAATTTAATGCAATTTTTACTTTAATTTTATTTAATACGATTTGCGTTTATTTGCTCTTTTGCGCACATTATTTTGGAGCGTAAAAAAATTGATAACTTTTATCAATAAAAATAGTTTGTACAAAGTAGATATTATATACTACATGCTTTTTTTTCTTTAACTGCAAAACGCGGCGTTAAATTCTTTATACGTATAATGTTTGTACACCAGTGAATACGCCAGTTAACAGACATTAGTATAATTTCGTATGGAATCTTCGCTTTCCCGATAAACACCATTAGAACACAGATCTCTCGATGTTTGCGAATGCCGCATATCGGGTTAAAGCCCATGCCGACAGCCATGCAACAGGATGCGCTCGGAATAATGCAATCACCGTTGGTGGGAATTCCGAGTATTGGTACCGCGACGTACGTTCTGTTTGACGAAATTCAAGACATTCCAGGGCAACAATGCTATCCGTTGTTTCTGATACCTCCCGTTTCGGGGCGAAGCCGGATAACAAACCAGTGCGACATGGTACGCTCGGGCAGGAATTAATTGCAATTCTAGAACCGATACAAAACAGAGACAAACGAAAATTTATATAGAGAGGAAAGAAAATTTAAAAGGTTTGGGTAAATAATATGATTATCGACTATCATTATAGAGTCTGATTTTGCATAGTCTGATTTTGATAAATAGGACTTTATTTGTATTACTTTGTTAAATAATATAAATATATTATATCTCTTGCTCATTACGATCTCATATTTGTTTGATATTATATGAACATTATATATTAAATATTATGTACAATATATATATATATATATCACGATAAGAGCACATGCATCCACAAAACTGGAAGCACAAAAGATTCGTTTTAAAAACGCACACTGCATATGACTACGCCAAGTCATAACGTTTTAAAAACGCACCACACATTTATGAATGACTGCGATACGCTTGTTTGTTTATCTGTATGTTACGGGCTCACACATAACGCTACGTAACTATTATGTTACTACAATTAGCTTGTCATTTGAGATCTGTAGTAATAGGTACAAATGTGCATAGGATACTTGGCTTCGATCAAGATCGAGATCAGAATGTAATCGACACGGATTGATATAGTCGATATCTTTAAAACAAAAAATAAATAATATTTGAAAGCTAAAAGCACTTTCAACAAGCTTAAAATTATTTATCAGATAAATAATTTGCGAAATAACATAGCGCAGTTACAAAAATAAAATTGATTTTTTTTAATACGACAGCATAAAACTATTGGCGCGTTGAATTTATAAGACAGATCTAGAATTTATAAACTTTGCGATCGTATTGACAATGAACGTTTTTCAGATATCAGATATGTATATGCGAACAGCAGGATTATCGTAGAGTATTAATTAGCATGTGCAGTCGTAATTATCGAATAATTGTGTTTTCCGTTATTCATTCATTCGACAATGTATCGCGCAAGTATTCGAGAGAATCGAATACCGATAAAGATGATGATAAAAGCAAGTGGAGATAATTACATTTTGCAATGATATGTACATTCGGTATTTTTTGATATGTAATACTGTTTTATTGGACATTGTTGTTATATTGAATTTTTTAATGGACAATTTTTTTATATTTATAAAAATGGAAATTATTTCGGAATTGTGTTGTATATCGCATTGAAAATGCATTCTGCTTGTAAAATCTGGATGTATCACATAAATTGTATTAATTAGTATATTTGTTACAGATATGTTTGGAGTAATGGCAGGGTCAACGGATTGCATCGGCCGGTGAGTGAACTTTTGTATTATATTAGGCACGTAATGTGTGCGTACATATGCGTGTGAGTCGCTTTTTGTTATGCAGCAGTATAAGAGCCCGAAATAGTTAGCTAGTGGCCCCGGCGTCAAATGCACGTTGTATGCCTGTTATGACTAAAAAAATGCAGATGTAAAGTTAGGACGATGCTCATACAACTCTGGCGCTATGAACGTTTTTTTTTTTTTTAGTACGGCGTATCTATACGCTCAAGCGAGTGCTTTTTGAATAGGCGTGCATGCTATTCTTGTACAGCCAAGGTGTATTGTACATCCTTTCTATAGCTACTCTATTTACTTTCATTGTGATATACTACTTTCAAACTTCGGAATTACTTGCTTCGAAACTCCCGAGTGATCAGTTAACATCTCACATTTTTAAACACACAACTTGGCGATTTTTCACGGCACGTGGAAGAGCAATTTTAAACTTTCACAACCGGTGTACTGATGCTCTCAGTTAACTTTGTGATACATTTTGCGGTTCAAAGTTGCACTGTACATCGAGTTTACACTTGAGAAAGTGTTTTTATATGATTTTGATTTTATTGATACTTGACTTTACAGCGTCCTTTTCCTTCTATCGCGATTTAACAATTGATTTATCTCGCAAGTGTAATCTAATTCCGGATACGCTGGTAAAATCGATACCATCAGCGCACATCTGTCGTACATCTATCGTATATTCACTCATTAACATTTGTAATTTCTGAACTGAAATTGCGTTGCTTTCTACGAGCGAATTACGTGCGAATTTTAAGCAAGGTAGAAAATGAGTGGGTCGCATCCGAGAGTTAAACGCCGTGCGCGTTGTAAAGAGCGAAAACGCCGGTGCCTATAAATGCGTATAAAATTAACGAGGAAATGAAGCGGCGAGCGACCAGGCTACTCTCCGTTACGATGGCGTCGTGCTACACCGGCGGTTTTGTGAGTGATTTTATGACCACGTCCCGGCATGCTTTACGGCTTGACCCCTGATCCTGAAACATGCCGAATTACAGCGCAGCCTCGCTCGCTCTTCCCCTCGCGCTAGCCACCACGAGGGCACTTCGGGAAAGAGACGAAAATTGAGAGGCTTTATCGATCTCGCGTTTCCTTTGGACGTGAACCAATAAGGGTCTCGAAGAAGCCTGAAACCGTCACACACTCGTCGATGTAACTGAAATCTTTCAATTCGAAATATCGATACCATCGTCTTGCAGATCCAGCCGAACATGAAAAGTTATTCAAATACGATTGTCGATCTTACACGAGAACATGGATAACGTACAATAAGAGAGAGCGAAATGTAAAGCCTTTTGAATAGAGTATCTCTCTCGCCTCTTCTCATTGGAAAGAAAAATCAGGAAATATGTAAAAGAGAAAAATTTTTATATTAAGATCACGTCTTTTGATACCAATCTAATTATTAAATTACGTTAATAATATGCGTATATTCGTGTTCTCTGTAACAAAAAATGTTGAAAAATTTTTGTAGGTTTTAAATTGTTTGTGGTTTCCCGGAATAGTATTAAAATGGTCCATTTAGAATCTATTTTTTCATAGCCATTGCATTTGACAATATTGTTGACGGTTAGTGGATTCTGAATTACAGTTTTAAAAGTGATAACATCGCGGCAGCTGTAAATGTTTACGTATATCGCAAAAAAGTTCCCAATCTGCATCCGTGTCATACATTCGCGTTTGCGACGGAGATTCACTTTTTATCACGAGGCAGAGAGTGGAAACGATATTTTGATCCGTGTGTTCCCGCGTGCCACGCTTTTGGAAATAATAACTCGGCAGAGTCGCATCACGAGGTCGTGTATTTTTGGGCGGGAATCCGGGAAGGCGGCGGTGACGAATCGATACGTACCTCGACAATTTGAGGGGTTAGGTATCGTCGACAGTAGCTCGAATTAGGGTTGCGCGACGTGGATTGATTTTGAATGAGACCGAGACACGTCTCGCGTAATCCGACGACAGGTTACTTAGCGCGCGGCTATGTGTAGACGGATATGTAGGCGCAACAATTTAATTACCGGCGGATATACGCCATGCCAGACACGTTTCTCATAACGGTCCCTCGGCAACCGGCTGATTACCGCGCGCATCTAACTTTGCGTCTTGGAGACATCGGGTGAGTCGCGTGTAGATGGGAAGCGCCGTCTTATATACGCCGCCTCGTGTAGTAAACATAACTTTGCATTTAAATTCGTTAAAATTTCCGCAATCCACGTTCTTAGTGCGCAAGGTAAATGTGTTTTCGCAAAGCGATAAAACTACCAAACTCGAGTTACCTTGCGAACGTCGACTCATCCGCGAAAATGTTATGTACTTGTTATTTATTGACGTCTAATTAGCGATATATGTAGTACTTGATGTATATAAAGTGCCTTGGGCTTGCCATTCCTTTTCATCTACGATCTTTCAGTAGTTTCGAATGGATTTTTTCTCTATAAAGTATCTTTTAACATTTTGTATTAAATATCTTTGTTATTAATATTTAAATTAATGTTCTAATGGAGTTTAATTGATTTGGAATAGAAAATAAAACTATAATTTTAATTAATTTAATATTTTTTCTAGATTTATCTCGAATGTTTTGAGAAACTAATTTTTTCCGAAATAAAAATATCAAGGCATTAACATTTTTATAAAAATTATAAAATTTTTATAAAAATATATAAATATATCTGTAACATTTTATATCTAATTGCACTTGATAAAATATTATGATAATAATTATATTAGTATTCAAGAGAAAGAAAGGTAGATAAAGGGGAAACAAAATAAAGTTGATTAACAGAGAAATTACTTACGTGTGAGCATACAAACAAAAACTAGAGAGAGATAGAAATAAAAATGCTCGTACAGATGTCAGAATTGTAAAAGAGACTTGACTAGTAGAAACAAATAAGGCTGCCACGGTCGAGCATAACATTGCTTCTCTCACTTTTTCCGGCAACATAGTTTACCCATGTCGCAACGAGATGCCTTATTATTTTTACATCCACTGTGCCTCTGAGGTTCTCGAATATTCAGCTTGTGCTGCATTCGGAGCGGCGCATTGGCCGTTCCAGCTATGATTTCCGCACGTATCCGCGCGGCATTTGCATTTTTTAAAGAGACGACTTGTTCGCGTCGCGCATCTAGTTCATTGGAGTTAGAAGCGGCGTCGTTCTCTCTGGGGAATCCAGCAGTGAGAACGAAAAAGTTTGATCGAATCCCACGGCCCAAATACATCGACGAACTTGCGCAGCGGTAGCGGAAATAATTATTAATCATAACACGGCCAAGTTTTTAAATTGCAAGAGCAAAACTGTATTACGTTTTACGCTTCAGCACTCTGGAATAAATAATAAGCGCTCTTGTTGGAAGAATAAAATATTATTCTTTTTTTGCAAACTATCAACACTCCATGTAATTAAAACAAATAAATCAATCGGAAATTTGAATTGAAGAATACTTTTATAAGTCTAAAAGCTAAAAATGATCGTGTTACAAAATCAATTAACGAAAATTGCTCTTTCTTTTTTAGGCTTATAAACGAGCCGTCCAATAAAATCGAGTTTCTGAATTAAATTACTTCCCAACAAGATTCATTTGACTATGAATATGAACGTGAGTTTAACTTTAAAGTACGGCAGAACACTTCGAGAATATTAAATGCCGGTGAAATATCTAAAAGCCGAAGCGCCTCCTCGAAAGCGGAACGTCACTTTACGCGGTCGGGAGAAGAGTCTTGTGCGACTTTTATTCGGGGTCGGCTGTGACGGTGATACGGCACTCACGCCTAACCGAAGGAGACGAGAATGTGTCCCGATACGGGATAAAAGAAGCTTTCGTTGGTCGACGCGGTATTGATCCCTCTTGCGATGGGACCGCGAGCGCCGTCGTCTCGCGGAAAATTCTTCGAGAAAAACACTGGTAAGTGGCGATCGTGAGGAGCGGATCGTAAAGAACGGATCACTAAGCTGCTTTCTTCCTGTCAACAATCGCGCCGGAGAAATCCGTCTTGCGTCAACGACGCAATCATTACCTATCGGATATTCCGTATTTTTAACGACTTTTTTTTTACCAACTTAAAGTCGATTGTTTCTTAACAAAAGTATCGATGCGCTACTGAAGCGGATAGTTTGAGAACTCAATTTTATTTTTGCAAATAATTTTTTACATCGAAATTTAATTGTGTTATTAACATATCTGTACTGATTGTATCGTGGATTGTGAATATATATATTTTTACATTGAATATCAATTCTTGCAATATACAGTTTCATGCAAACGACTGCAATAATCAATTTCATCCCTCGTTGATTAATTCTATTTGTATCAAAATCCTTGTTGGCGGTTACGCGCGGTCCAACTCTACGGTTCGAAACTGCCTCAAAGAAGAAAAAAATCTGACCGCCCCGCGGGAGAAAAATTCAATGTTCGATAACTGGATACATGCGAGCGTCGGCTTAAAATCTAATCTTCAAACGCAGCCTGGACCCTCCTGGGCAAAATTCAATCGACCCATCTCGCTCATAGCGCTCATCGAGAAGCGCCCGCTACATGTACATACGCACTTTCTACGAGTGTAAAGCCCGCTATACACGGTACAGCATACTTTAATGATAAACTGGACGACAAAAGTGATTTTTTGTCACCCAGTAAACTTTCCGACGCACGTAAACTTGTACAAGTTTTTCGTACACAATGGATTTATAATCTCTCACAAAATTGGTAACAAGGATTGAGATAATAAAAAAAAAAAAATTAATTCTTGAAAGTACATAGACTGTAGGCACCTGTTTGGACGCAAGATAGGTCTTAGGATGATCTTGCAAAAAAATAAAACAGACTTCGTGTGCTACGGGCTTAAGCTCGTTTTCCCGGGAGAGGAAAAGGGCGAGCCTCCCACCGCGCGAAAAGAACGACCCTCTCGATCCGTCAGATCAGAGAAAATCCCACAGCGTACGACATCCTGCGTGATCTGCATCGCGTAT